TATTTTTATGGTAAGATACTTGTACTTTTACTCAAGTATCACTTTGAGGTACTTTATACAACACTGCTGTATTATGAATATTCACCACGGTCAAAGGGAGACTTATCGTAAAGTGTAAAACAGTAAACTAATAATGACAAAAAAACATTTATAAATGCCAAAAGTTAGTCTTTAATGTAAAATATCATCATTTTTAAAACTTAGTGTTGATTATCAATATTTTAAATATGTAACTATTGTCAACAATGATGATATATCAAAAAAGGTCAACACATCAAATAATCACACTCAGTCCAAAATAGTGTAAAGTTTTACACTTTACAATAAGGATCCCTTTAATATTTGTGGATATTTATAATGCATTAATACAGTAAAATATTATATGATAAAGTATGTTTCCTAATCATTATCGTGCTACAAGGTAGAAGACTTGGCCTCTCTATGAATATTGTGGCCCCTTGATGGCCCCTTACTCAGAAAAATCCTAGATCCGCCCCTGGCAGGACCAGAGTAAAGTTTGGGTCACGACACAACCATAACAAAGTTTGGGTCACGACACAACCATAACAGCACGTTTTTAGCTGTTTGCTGCAGTTTGAAGAAATGAGAATAAATACGAAGGGCAAAGTGGAATAAGAGCTAAAACAGTAGTGACTTTAAAACAACATAAATGGTTTTTAAAGTAAACAGTATTTATTCATGAGTGAGTAAATCAGGTTTTCTGTACTTGTTCTGCAGACCAGGACAATGACTTTAAACTGACGCTGTCAGAGTTCATCTCGTTACCTGTGGGCACTGTGGAGAACCAGCAGGGCCAGGACATCGATGACGACTGGGTCAAAGAGAGGAGGAACGAGTTTGAGAAAGTCATCGACTCAAACCACGACAGCATCGTAACCATGAAGGAGCTGGAGGTAACAGAAGAGCAGCTGCTGTAGATTGTTGTTTGAACAACCTCCGTTTGGACAAATACAGGCTTGATTTGTTCAAATACAAGAATAAMAGTGGATTCATGTCTTTTGAAAAGACCTCGACACTACAAAATCTGATTTGGTTCAAGCAAATCTTGCATAGCTCTTTAAACTGCTATCACTTCTTTGACTCAGTTATTTGAAATTATTGTATTTTCTAGAGATCGACCGATGCAGGTTTTTAAAGGCAGATACAGATTATTTTGACATCAGTCTAATCCAGGGGTTCTTAACCTTTTTGACCTCAGGGCCCAATTTATTGAACATAAAGTGACACGAGGGCCAGTCACACATTACCATTGTATGGATCAAATGATAATTATTATAAATCTTGGTTTAATTTTTATTGTATTTACATCATAACTAAATTAAATATGCTTACTTGTATGTGCATTTTAAGTA